GGAAGATGACTGGTGCTCTCAGGCCTATTACTGCAGACTCTCGAAAGAGTAAGAGTCTTTCTCTCAAATCCTTGACTTAGGATGACCCCGAAGCTTCTTGGACATGTGTAAAGCAATTGCAGGCCTGTGCAATTCATAGATCAAATGGCCTTGGAGTCTGCTGCTAAAATCCAATTTGCCTTATTTTGCACAGCATCAATGGGATGCACCCTCATAAGGACACTTTTGGCATGTGATTGATGGCTCTCGTGTCAAGATGTGCTCGTTTAATAGTGGCCTTGGTGAAGCAGGAGAGGTGTGCCCAATTTGTCTTGCTCTTCGTCACTCAGTTCTTACAGTCTCTTCGGGAGTGGCAGTCTGCTGTCTAGTGCTTGAGTTTGTCTCTGAATGGCAGTGGGAATGCTCAAGAGACGGGGAGCTGTTTGCATGTCAGAATGGTCGGGTTTCTGCCCCAAATGGACTTGCCTGAGATGACCTTAAATTAAATTATAGTCTCCATTAGGTCTCGGAAGATGAAACAAAGTACAGTTGGTTGCCGATTAACTGTTCCCTTTTAGCCTTCAGCTAAATCTAGCAAGGAATTTAAAGCTGAAGTTGTGTTTCAGCAAACGTATAGATGCTCCTTCATAACAAGTCTGAATGTTTATTAGATGTGTGATTTCAATACACTCATTGGAAATAATGTTATTCTTCACAAAGTAAAAGCATCCGTAATTTTGCTACCAGGAAGAATATTTGCTTCCTCTCACACATTTTATTTAATAATTTTACTTCTTTAAAAGGAAAACAGCACACAATTTGAAAATGCAATTTCCCTGAAGTGTTCGGTTTGCCGATATGTTTTTCATTTTCTTCATTATGCTGTAGTGGAGGGTTGCCATACTTGAAAATGTGCAGCTTTCTCCCCAGAGCAGCAGATGGTATGACTAATGTGTGCTTTGGTGTAGGATTTACCACGAGAGATGATATCTACACAGCAGGAGATGGGAGTCCTGCCCTCAAAAAGCATTGACTCTGATCCCAGTCGGATCATTGACATTCACATTTAATTATTTTAACGTATGAAGAACTCCAAAGTTTAAAAAGGTTTCGGTGTATTTAGATGGTTCTTTTTTTTCTTGATTTTTTTAGTTTTTATGCAAAAATACTCCATCTAGAAACCATTTGGTTTCTATGTTACCCAATCTTTTGTTACTATAACAAAATACATGAGATAATTGACTTAAAATGAAGAAAGGCTTATTTTAGCTCACAGTAGGTTTCACATTCTCATTGAAAGAATATTCCAGTGACCTAAAATCTCCCTTGTAACAACTCCATCACCTCTCAATAGTCTCCTTTGCTGGGTGCTTATAATACAAGCCTTATGGACCTTTGGGACATTTTACCTCCTCGATCTAGCAAGTGATTCCAAGTACATCTGCGAATGTTTCCTTTACTGGTTGCCTCATTACTGGAAGACTAGCCAACTGCTTTGCAGGATATGATTTTTGTCAGGGGATATCCACAAAATCCAAGTCTATGAACCAAGCTTCAGCTGTGGAAGTCTGATAGTTTGGCACACCCTAAATAAGCACCATGTACTTGTAAAACCAAAACTAGAGCTCAATTTTCCTAACTTCGTTTGAAAAATACCACCTAAAGGAGATCTGGTCACTTTCTCCTTTAAGTGAAAATAGCATTCGAAACTATGTTATACTAATACAAAAATGTTTAGTTGTATAGTACATCCCTCTGTGGTGCTGTGCTGTCTGTCGGGGACAGATTCATATGCTGTCAATCATGATGTCCTTGTGCTGGTAACTGAAAATAACGTTTTATCGGTTACTTGTTATTCTTTTATATCTCTTTAGATAGAACGATTAAGCCCTCCACTCCCAAATGGAAAGAGTTCTGAGTTGTGAATTCCAGCACAGTGATTTTTCTCTAATGCTGTGATTAATTGGCAATATCTGCCACAGACAGGAGCAGAAGATGGTGGCTTAGTACATTTGTTTGTGTGGTTTAATTTTCATCTTTAGTGAATGGAAACAAGAAATCACCTTGGTTATTCTTTAACAGCATTCTGTGCCCTTGGAAGTTCTTTTAAAATGTGTGTTATTTTATATGGAAATAAATCTTAAATCTTCTCATTTTATGGTTAGAAAACATTTTTCTTGAGGGACTTACTGTGAATAATAAACCACCATAATAGATGTAAATTCAGAAACTCATGTTTTCATTTTCCAACTTATTTGAGGTACCACTTTTTGAGGATATGAGTGAATATTTTATTCTTTGGGGTTATCAAAATAAACATGAAGGACATTATATAGACTTAAAAGTATTTAGCCAATGTACCTTAGAATGATTTGGGAAGAGAACACATTACGAGTCCTGATATAACTTTTGTTGATGATGTCCAGTTAAGTTCCTGAACAAACGAATACTTTAGGAGCCAAAACTCTACTCTCAAACCTTTCCAAATAACAAAATTATAAGCCGAGATTTATGATTATTACATATCTTTCATTCCATAATTCTTAGTTCAGATCTCAAATAAGAAACTGGGGGAAAAAAGTAATAATTATGATGATTACGAAGAATTTTCCTTAGAATCTGACATGATAAAGTAAAAGCGAATGCTTGCTTGGAGAGGGGTGTGCCTGTCTAGAAATGGTACCTAGACTCTGTTCAGTTGGTTTCCATTTCCAGGGAAACAGAAGATGATAGTGTAGCACTGAGTAATTGACTTACCAATAACTTACCAATTCCCTTCCAGTTCTTGGGGCTGTTGACCTGTGGAGTTATGATGTACAAAAGATTTGATAATATCGTGGCTCAGAAATTGGAAATTTTCAAATGGAAACTGTAGGCTAGTTGCTGCCCATTTATTGATAGTTCGTAGCACCGTGAATCTCTGTCACGTAAATGGGTCCACTTCCCTCTCTATAGTGACAGGTGACTGCTGCTGGTCTTGCATCTGGACAACATATAACACGTAGTTAACCTGACAGTGAGTTTTAGTATTCACGTGCACATCGTGGGGTGTTTAGAAACTGTGAAGGTGATTCGAATGAATCTGTGGTGTTCCTGCCTTCTGAGACTTGGCTTCCGGCTGCTTTGCCCTGAGCAGGTCAGGTTTGGGTTTCACATACCAGCCTCCCAGTCCTCCATCTGCCTCCTCTCACCTTTTCTCGCCCACACTTTGTTTTAAGAGACTAGGCAGAGAATTGCTTGCATTTTAACTTTTTAAAATTTCTAAAGCAAGACTTGGTTCTCAAGAAGGGAGCTGCCTTGTGCCTTGGGCTCTAATGCAAGTTCCAAGAATGAAATCGGTGCTTCCTGTGGACTAGGAGAAGGCGAGGGGTTTAATCAAGACTCAGATTCTCCAATTGTGCTAATCATTTATAGAAACTTAAAGCTAAGTTACAATCTCCTGGTGGATCAGAGCACTCCTACTTCTTTTGAAAATAATGTGTATAGCAAAAGAGATGACATTGAAGAAGTCCTCCTATAGTTCAGGGAATCTGGAATTATCACTCTAAAAGTTGACACTATGAAATATGTCATTAAAGGAGAGCGTTTTTATGTTACTCTTTAGATTGGCAAGTTATGACAAAACCACATTCATGTTACTTGAATACATCTTTTGTCTAGATTTACATGCTTTTTGACTTGTCTGGAAAATGACATATTGAGGTTTTCATCAGTTTTAACCAGGTGTGATTTTCTTATGGAAGATACCCAGGCAGGACCGCAGATTAAGTGGAATAAACCAGTGAAGCTCAGAAAGGCCACAGCCCTTTTTCAGATGGTAGCAATGAGCTGAAAGACTCATTAATCAGCCACAGTCACAGGTGTGATGAACTGCCTGCAAACTGCCCACAGACTGTGAAAGTCACATCCCACCTGCTGAACTGTCAAACTAGTCCTACCCACAAACACTCTAACAGCAAAATTTCAACTCTTTCATGTTTGAGATGTGATTTTTGAAATGTTAAATTTCATCCAAACTTTCTGTGAAATATTTTATTTCATAAAACAAATTTTAAAACAAAATCAAGTTTGACATCATTTTATCTCATAAAAATTTATTAATGTCTTTATGTCTTCTATTATTTCTTCCTAATATTTACTTTTACTTCTTTATTTTAAAAATCTATTCTCCTGTATGGCTTTTTGGATTTGTGGTTCTTTGAAACATTTAAGACATAACATAAAATTTTGTACTGTTTAGTTTAAAAGTTTGTGTATCATTTAAAGTAGTGAAAACCAACTTTAAGATTGACATGTGGCCTTCCTGGAGTCTTACAGCATGATTATAGTCATTTGCTTTAGTAGTGAGTATATAGTTGTTTAGGAAAGTTTTTGATGAAATTTAGTAACATATATGTGATGGCCTTTAACAAAGCTGAGATTTCCAAAGCTGCTACTGTGACCTGCAGTGACTTCTGTTTTTGTCTTTGCACAGTAAAAGCTAAGACCAAGTCAGCCCCCCCAACACACACACACACACACACACACACACACACACACACACACTCGCACGCGCACGCACACGCGCGCGCGGACACACACACACAGAGGAAGAGGGAGAGGGAGATGGAGGGGGGGAGAGGGAGATGGAGGGGGGAGAGAGAGAGAGAGAGAGAGAGAGAGAGAGAGAGAGAGAGAGAGAGAGAGGAGAGAGGAGAGAGAAGAGAGAAGAGAGAAGAGAGAAGAGAGAAGAGAGAAACATCCCAGGAATATATACATACATATATACATACACATTCTCATTGGCTTTTGTTTGTTTGAGTACATGTGTGCAGGTACTCAAAGAGGACACAAGAGGGTGTTGGATGCCCTGGATCTGGAGTTAGGGGGGGTTGTTAATTGCCCAAAATGGGTGCTGGGATCCAGATTCAGGTCCTCTGGAAGCAGCAAAAGCTTTTAACCACTGGTCTCCAGCCCCTTATTTTGTTGATTTCACCACACAGGGGAAATCATTAATGCGTATTGTTCTCCTAACCCTGCAGGCTCTCTAGGCCTGTGCCTCCAGTTCCTTCTCTTCGAAATAGCCTCAGGCTGTAGCAAGACCTGCTGAGTCAGAAACAGTGCCATGGATGGGAATCCTACCAGGCACTGACTGTACACAAGTGTCTGCAGCCCAGGAAGAAGAAAGATTTGCAAAGTTCCTTCGTCCTTTCAGATTTTTCCTGCCATTTTACTTCCCATCAGAGCAAATACCTTTAATAATGAGACTCATCACATAAAACACAAAACAAAATCTTATTTCATTATCTAGACATGTCAAGCAACCTCAGATATAATGAGCAGGAATTAAAACAGCTCTATTGTTGAGTCCCGGGTCTTGCAATAATGGGGGACAGACCACCAAAATTGATTAAACCAGAAGCAAACTTTATTCCAGAAAAATAAAAAAATAAAAAATTAAAAGAACAATAATAAAATACCGTGGGGTACAAAAGCTTATCAGCTAGCTGAGACCATAGACAATGTTGGAATTCTGGGGTTGTGGCAATTGAGGCAGGTATTGGCCCCCTTTTATAGTGTAGGCACGGGGTGCATGCTAGGAGTCACATAGAAACAACTATATTAAAAGTTAACTTTGGTCCAGGCAGTTGTTGGCTACAAGGGGCAAGGGGGTTAAAAGTTAACCCCTGGCTGCTGACAGAGGACCTGGCTGTAAGCAGACAGCCATTGTTAGCAGTTAACATTTAGAGCTGATGACTGTTAGTTTTTAATCTCTTAAGCTTATAATTTTATATTTCTATATTCCTGAACCCTTCACTATGAAGTTGTTTAAGGTGAGAAGTGATTTCCTAAATCTAGTGAAGAGAACATTGAACCAAGACCAATCACATAGTATCAAAATTTCTATTGGATGGAGCAGTGTGTGGTTGAGTATGGAGAGAGGCAGGAATGTAGTTGAATGTAGAGAATGTAGAGAGCAGTGTGTAGTTGAGTATGGAGAGAGGATATAATCTCACAAATATCTTAATACACTATAAGGAGTCGGATGATATAGCTTTAAGGTTCAAATGTGGCCTCATTTTAATTTATTCTTGAATGCTTTAATGCTATTGAGAAGAGGAACATTCTTTAAATTAGCAAAACATCATTATATCCATTTTGAATTTCATTTGAATTGGATGTTTCCTTCAAACTCAATTTTGTTTATAAAATAAACTGAATAAAGTAATGTTTTCCATTTTTTGGAGTTGTTTCTCTATACATTGTGAAAAATATGAGTAAATATTTGGAATAGACTCTGGAATGTGAAAAAAGTAATTGAAGTCATGATTTATATCGTTATGGGATGTCCATACTCTAACTCACATTCTTTGTCCATATGTGTCTTGCCAAAGTAATGCTAGGTTATGGACAGTAAATGCCATAAAATACCCTGATTAGGACCGGATCCTGACCTGAAGTTGACATTAGAGGGTCACCTCAGAAGAATTGGAAGTTTTACAACTAGAAGTTAATCATAGCCCATTTCATTGTAATAAACTGAAGCTGAACAAAGTGATATTTTTGCACTGCTGTGGATACCTGACTACCTCTGGGGCTTTGTGTGAGGGTGGCATCCAGCTGGGCTGCTCCAGGGAAACTCAACAATGGCGTGTGTTGACTTAACATGGAGTATCAGTAGCCATCTGGAAACACAATAGAGAGGGAACAGGAGGGACAGGTCCATGTCCTGAGAAAGGGCTGAATTCCCGCACACTCTATCTCCTCTAAACGTTCTTCAAATACACAAGTTTGGTGGAGAAAAGCAAACAGCACTGTAAAAGGTTAGAAGGTCATCAGCAGTGTAAGGGCAAAGGTGACAGACAGTTCCGGTGAAAAGACACATACTTAAGACTGTCATTGACAGGCAGTGCCCAATGCCTATATACACACACACACACACACACACATTGCAGTAATTAACCTTGTGAATCCTCCAACATTTTGCTGTCTCCATATTTCCATATATAATTTCTGGCAGCTGCTCTCACACTGGCAAAGAGGAGGAGGAAGAAGAACTACCCAATCACAGCCTCATTTTCAGGTGAAACATGACACTGCTTTCTGTTTAACTTAATGGAAATATGTCTGAAGAGATATCACTGTGATCACAGAGAAGTAGACCTTGATGAAAGTCAAGCAATCTACTTTTGGTCCAGTTGTTACTAGCTAATAACTTCTTGCTGTTTTACTGTGGTTATATACTCACTTAAAAAACATGGACATAGTCCCTTCTATTATTATAGTAGTCTGAGACCTGCACTGAGATATATCCAGATTTAACCACTAAAGTGTTAATGAAATTACCAATAAAAAGGTATAATAATTCATACTGGGACCATTACATGAGTAATTGCATAGATTTGGGTAAAACTAGAAGCATTTGTATGATAAACAGTTAAACCTCTATACATGGTATGTAGAAAATCAAAGACTCTGCATTGTCTTTCGGATACAAAAGGGCTCCCTAAAACATTAAGTAGAACACTTTTTAAAGGGTAAATTTTATCACATCATTCTTCTAATAAATAGCTCTTTAAAACATTTGAACAATCGTTTCTTCATGACTCTATTGTCTTTTGCATTTTTAAAATATGATATTTGGTATAACTTTTGACTTTATAGCAAAGTTAGTAATCCAGTCTGCCTATTGATTAATTTGATCAATTAAGGCAACAGAATGCACTGTGACTTCTCTCAACTTAATTTGTGGCATTTTCTCTCTGCCCTGTGCTGTTCCACCCCTCATGCTGATGCAGGCAACCATAGTTAATCTTGATGGGTCACAACAACAGTAGGAGGAGGACCTAGAGGGAAGAAAGGAGCCTAGCAGGGGTGACGGGCACAAGACAGGGTGACAGGGAATGGATATAACAAAATACATTATATACAATGTAGCCAGAGGTTTTTCTGGACAAATCTCTCCCATCGGCTGTCCCGCAGCCGCTTATAAAATAAACACACAGAATTATATTAATTACAAACTGTAGAGCCTGTGGATCAGGCTTCTTGCTAGCTAGCCCTTACAACTTAACTCAGCCCATTTCTATTAATCTATGCATTGCCACGTGGCTTTGTGGTGTTACCTGTTCTCTCGCATCTTGCTTCTCCTGGCAGCAGCTCATAGCATCTGCCTGAATCCACCCTTCTACATCTCTGTCTCCAGTTTGAATATACTGCCTAACCTTATTCTGCCTCACAGTGGGCCAAACGGCTTTATTATCAACCAACGAGAGCAACACATATTCACAGCATACAGGAAGGCATCCCACAGCACTACATATACAAAGTTCTCCACAAAATCAGCACCCTCAGCTATCCAATTGTAGCAGATTACAAGTATGAAGAAATCTCTTCCTAATGGGAAGGACCATGTTTTGCATGCTTGCTTGCCTGGCAATGTACTGTATATACTTACGTGAGTCTATCATCCTTAAAACTTCTTGAAACAACAGCTACATGCTCGTGTCATGAATTCAAGCAGATAATGACAAAAATATCATGGTTTGTAAGAAACCCGAATGCCAATATTCATGACAGCTTATGCCCAAGAACAGAGCACAGCCAGTGCCTTCGAAGTGCCCCACCTCCAACCAGCAAGTGCCAAACATGACCTCCTCCATTCCTGCACACTCAGCAGCCACACATAGATATGTGCAATAATGCACAGATCATGCGCTGAAAAAGTATTACCACCATCTCCAGACCTTTACATTTAACCAAACCTAGATACTTTGTACACAACAAACATTAGCTTCTCTTCTCTCAGCACCTGACAGTCTACCTTCTACTTTCTGTCAGTATGAAGTTGAACATTCTAGATAGGTCCTATAACTGGAGTCACATCTTTATCCTTCTGTGCATGAGCTTATTTCAGTTAGCATAATATCTTCAAGGCATACCCATTTTGTAGCACATGTCATGACTTCTTTGTTTTTAAAGGCCAAACAGTTTTCTGTTTTAGGTGTGCAGCACATTTCATTTTTCCATGCATCTGTGTACATATAATATAGATTTCTTCTATCTTTGGGCTACTGTAAACAGAAAAATTATAAACATAGATATACACACCAAATATAGTCCCAATTTTCAGTCTATTTGGATATATACCCGAGAGTGGGATTGGGAGATGTTTACATTCTGGGGAATGTTTATGTTTCCCATAAAGGCTGCAGTATTTTATATTACTATCTCAATTCACGAGGGTTCCAATCTCTACTGTTTTTTATTGAAAATATTTTTCATACAATATATTCTGATCACAGCTTTGTGTTGCATGAGGCCTACCTTTAAGTGTGGTTTCTACACCATTAAAACTCCATGAGAGAAAACTGGTTTTTCCTTTGTTGGTGGTTATCAGTTGGAGATAGCTTCTGGGTTAGAGATAGGGACTAACATTCACTTCCCATCAGTGCTGGGACCCCATCTGGCTTAGACCTGTGCAGGCCCTGTGCATGCTACCACAGTCTCTGAGTTCATATGTGTGGCAGTCCTGATATGTCTACAAGACCTTGTTTCCTTGGTATATTCCTTCCCCACTGGCTCTTAAAATCTTTCAGTCTCCTCTTTTGCATAGGTCCTGAGTCCCGAGCAAAATGATTAGATGAAGACATCCCACTTAGAACTGAATGTTCCAAGGTCTCTCAGTCTTTGCACGTTGTCTGATTGTGGGTCTCTGTGTTAGTTCCTGTCTACTGCAGAAGGAAGCTTTTCTGATGATGTCTGAGCCAGATACTGATCTATGGGCGTAGGAATAGTATTTGGTTTCCAGGGTCCATGGCCCATTTAGGCTCAGATTCTTGGCTACTCAAACAGTGTCAGGCATGGGTTCCATTTCATGAGGTAGGCCTTCAGTCGGTCCAGATAGCATTGGCCCCTCCCACAGCCTTCAGTGGTCCAGACAGCGTTGGTTCCTCCCACAGCCTTCAGTGGTCCAGACAGCGTTGGCTCCTCCCACAGCGTTTGCATCCATTGCACCAGTGTGTTATGTCGACACATCACCACTGTAGATCGAAGGCTTTTGTAGCAGGGTTGATGCTTACGTTTCCTCCCTGGCAGCATGCAGTGTGTTCTAGCACCATTAACACTAGTCAGTAGGGGAGAAGGTTCCACGTAGACACCAACACAGTTTCTCCATAAGATATGTAACTGCTGTCTTCAGCAGTGGAGGCTTGACACCGGGTTGTGAGGAACAACCAATAGCTTTGGCAGTTGTCTGAGTTGTTTGGGGGTTTCCATGGAGCCCTTTAGCCAACAACTCAATTAGATGTAACCTATTTCTGGCACCGGGGGTTCCACTTGGTGGTGAGAGATGTCCTGTGAGGATTTTGTGTCCCTCCTTACTTGGTGATTCCGTGTAGATTTGTTTCATAAATGCATATATTTTATAAAGCTTCTAATGTAGTAGGTATCCATATAGGCCATCTCATGGCCCTCACTGCTAGCTGTCCGTCCCTGTCTTCCCTCTGTGAGCTCACCCCTTTACTCCACCTCTAGGACTGATTTTCCCATCCCAGTCTCTCCAGTAACTATATATTCTATTTCCCCTTCCTTGGGAGATCCTTCCCTTCCCCTTAGTTCCTTATTCCACACCTAACTTCTGTGGTTATATGAATTGTAGCTGCTTTACCAAAGGCTTAAAGTCTAACATCCACATGTAAGAGAATACATACCATATTTGTCTTTTGGGGGGTCTTGATTATTTCACTCAGGATTTTTTTTTTAACTCCATCTATCTAACTGCAAATTTCATGATATTTTTAAACAGCTGACTAGTATTTCATTGTAAAAAATATACCATATTTTCCTGATCCATTCTTCCTTTGATAGACATCTGCGTTGTTCCCAATTTCTGGTTATTATGAATAGAGCAGCCATGAACACTGATGAATAAATGTTTCTGAAGTAGGATGTCGAATCCGATGGATATATGCCCTAGAGGGGTATAGCTGGATCCTGAGGTAGAGCTATGCCTCAGGTAGATGCTTCCTGAGGAACTGCATCCCTGATTTCTATGGTGGCTGTACAAGTTTTCACTCCCACCAAGTATTCCCCTTCTTCCACAGACAGCATGAGTTGTCATTTGTTTTATTGATCTCAGCCATTATGATTGGTGTAAAATGAAATTTCAAAGAAATTTTGATTTGCATTCACTGATGACTAAGAATGTTGAACATTTCTTTGTTTTGTAGCCATTTGTGTTTCCTCTATTAAGAATTCTCTGTATAGATCTGTATCCCACCTTTTAATTGTTTTGTTTTCTTGATGTCCAGTTGTTTTTCTTTTTTCTTTTTGAGTTCTTTGTATATTTTAAATAGTAGCCTCTATTGGCTGTTGAGTTCATAAGAATATTTTTCCATTCTGTAGACTGCTTCTTTGTCTGAATGACAGTGTCCTTCACCTTACAGAAGCTTCTCAGTTTCATGAGGTCCCATTTGTTAATTGTTGATCTTAGTGTCTGCACCATTGGTATTCTGTTCAGAAAGTCTTCTCCTGTGCCAATGAGTTCAGGGTTATTCC